TATCTATCTATCTATCGTCTATTTAACGAATCCAAACTGCTCTCTGTTAATCATCCGAGAGTGCCCTTCTATCTACATGGCTCGTTGCGTCTTCTCAGGCCAACGTTTTTGGCTGACATGAAGTTAAAAGACAGTCACTTATATGCCATGCATGATACACGCTCAGGCGATCATCTATCTTTCGATACATGACTGACGAAGCAGATATCTGGCTGCCATTTCTATCTGCGGTAGACCAGTTGCCATCCAAGGCTCTAGAACTTAGAACCCAATCTATCCTGCTATTTACACATAGCTGTGGTGTGTTGGGGTTTAGAAGAGGATTCATACTTTTCCTAAGGGTATTGTACGTAAATGAATATAAAGGACTCGATTGGAAATTCGAACTCGGCTTTTCGATTCTTCAATCCGAGCCGCTATCCATTGCCCAGAATTCCTCCTCGGTGGAAAGTAGAAAGACTATATTAGATTCATTGCTAGGTGAGCTAGTAAGAAAGTTGGTTTACTGTGTCGTGTGCGCGACGATTTTTCTCTTCAAAATTATATGACATATTTTCAAGCCTTTTTCATTCGTCCATGCTTAGAATATTGCTGCTATATATGGTCCTGTGCTCCTGCTATCTATCTAGAGCTCCTTGATAAAAAACAAAGAAGAACTATTGGCCATGTTTTGGCGTTTCGACTTCAGTCACTATCACCGCCGTAAGATTGCCTCCCTGTGCCTTTTTTATGAATAGTGTCATGGTAATTGTTCGGGTGATCTGTTCGCTATGTTGCCTAGACTCTTTGAATTTAAGCACAGTACTAGACTGAAGAAGAGGTCTCTTCAATTTACAATTCAGCTGGCTAAATGTAACCGTAAATTCCATGCTAACATTTTCTTTTCTCGCACTTCTCGCTTGTGGAACTACATCCTGGCACTCTGTTATATAGTGTGACTAGAATATCCATGGCAACCAAGAAAAAGAATCTTAAAAACGTTCATATCCATTGCAACAATGAAAAAGAGTTTTAAAAACGCACTGTTAAAAAAAAAAAAAAAAAAAAGAAAAAACAGTGAGAAGAAAACGCTCTGTAAAACGAAGAAGCTGGATTGCAACCAACGGACAGAAAGCTAAGTAAAAATAATCTTCTTTTGTAGAATAACACCATCCTTATGTGAATATTAATTCACTTGGACATTAAAATAACAGTCTTAGATATAACTACCTTCTTTATGTGAACATTAATTCACTAGAACATTGAATTTAAAAGCATTTTATTTTATTCCGTCACCCCTCAAAACTATCTCCACTCTTAAATCTATTTCCCTTAAGTTACAAATTAAATTATTTTGTTATTGTTACGATCGTCTTATCTTCATCATTTATTTGGATAAATCGTTGTTACCTTTATTTTGCTCCTTTCTTTCTGTTAACCAAATCTTGTCTGAATCCATGTTTATACCGGAACCACATCCCTGAGCCAACCTGGGTATAGAATATCTGACGTAAATATCATTTTTTTTATGACACAGCAGCCGGGGTCATCAGAGATATTTCGATTATACTTCGAAGCTTCGCCCCGATCGTGACAATAGCTACCTTTAATGTTTAAAAATTTAAATATGATGTAGCCTGTTTAAGGGCCAGAAAGTAAGACACGGAAGACGAAGGTAGGTTGAACAAGTATATTGAAGAAACAGATATATATATATATATATATATATATATATATATATATATATATATATATATATATATATAAACAAGAGTGTTAGTAATAAGTAGATAGCTGTGTACGTCCGAATGTCTACTTCTCTATATTTAACAGCCACGTGGGATGTATGTGACACAAGGCCGAGTTTACGGTGAGTTTTTTCGAGCTCGTAGGATCGGCCAAAAATATTCCCTTAGAACCCGCATAAACGGGTACAGGTTCTGTCTACCTTCCCGGACGAAACTCTGCCATTCGGCATAACCTCGTCCGGGTTCCTCTCTGCCAAGGTAGAGAGTTCGACAGAAGTCGGACATAGTTAGAGACTGCATCTACATCTCTATATTTAACAGCAACCCCCACAAGGGATATATATGGCACAAGGCCGAGTTTACCGTGGGTTCTCCGAGCCCTAGGCTCGGCCAAAAATGTTCCCTTAGAATCCGTACAAACGGGTTCAGGGTCTGTCTACCTCCCCGGACGAAACTCTGCCCTTCGGCATAGTCTCGTCCGGCCTCCTCTTTCAGATAGTTCGACAGAAGTCGCACACAGTCAGAGCCTGCGTCTACTTCTCCTCTAACCGACTCTCTCAGTTAGTATTTATGAGAGGAGGAAGCGTTTATTTACTGTAGGAGGGTTTACCACAACAAAATGCAATGTCAATCGCTATCTTGTATCCTCCTAATCACTCTTCGTTTCTTTTCGCTCATTGACAATATTTCTGTTTTCCACCCCTTCTACAACCAGTAACCCCTTGAGTCTCAGGAGCGTTGCCTTGCATAGAATGAACCAGATAAAAAAAAAA